TTTTTAATTTGATCCACCTCTGTCTGTCAGGTAGCATTTCATTTCCTGTCTATTAATATGAATTTGATGCGTAACTTGATCCCTAAAAATGAGAAAGATATAAATAATTGTGCCAACAGAGTTCAACAATTGATTCATTCTCAGTTAGCCACAACCAAACTATTTTATAATGTTTTATCCATCTATTGTTCATTATCACTATCTAATTACATTATTTAAGAATCAAACAGATGGCTGGGCAAATATATATATAAATAAATAAAATGTGGCTTCACCAAAATCTTCATTAATGAGTTTTTAGTATAGATGCAACCGTCCACTTCACAAGACGCTAATATACAAATTGAACTGTTTATGGACTTGTATTGAGAAGTGTGTGTTCACAGCTGTCATGTGTTTTGAGTTAAATTGCCCACAGATTTCCTTCCATGTCTGTAAATCACTGTCACAAGCAGCTGGAATTCACAGGTCCTCTCTGATATGGATTATGCACCCCCACACAGACACATCAAACTCTGGACTAAAAATAGATTCTGACGGCTTCAGATGTTTCTCAATGCTCAAAGACGCCGTAAAGTGAGACCACCTTTATGTTTCCTGGTAAGCTACCCAACATGCATCTTGGTTGATGCATACAGATTTTTGGTGAGTAAACACAGCATGGTCAAAATCAGCCATATTGATAGGAGGAACATACAATAAACAAAACATCAGAAAGGCCTGAGTAAAGCGTGAGAAAGCAGGATACAATATCATGTGCAACTTATTTTCATTTTTTTTAAATAATGCTTTCAAAAGTATTTGTTTACACAACACATGTTTCACCATGGTGTTGTAATTCAGGATTGTATCAAATGGGAATGTTTTGAAGAAAAAGACTCCTTTCCACATGAGCCTACACACAAATCCCGACACTGAACTATAAACACTACTGAAGAACTCAGTAGAGCAGAACCAACTGGAAGGTCCTCTGTGAAACCTAAAATGAGACACAGCTATGTATGCTACATGTTAACTGTGAAAATAAATGTGAGGCATTTTAACCATGACAAGACTACATGAGTATATGTTGAGCTGAACCACTATATATATTATATATGTATTTATTTTACAACCAATTCATGCCGACTCCTTGGATATGTGTTCGCAGTAAAGTGTTTTTATCGCATGTACAGAACTTTGTCTCGACCAAAAATCGTTTTTAAAATGTGCTATATAAATAAAACTTGATTTGATTTGATGTGTTGAAATAGAGTGGATTAAAACATTTCGGCAGTTAAATGTAAAACTCTATTATTGTTGCCGGTCGTCAATGACGACGATTAATCATTCAAAACAAAATCACAAAGTAACATGTCTCTTACTGTTGTGTTAAGACCAGTATGATGAAAGAGTCACCATCTGAACTTGAATATGAAATCAACATATGCAAATTCATTTATGTTACCTGTCACCTTGGCAAGCTTTGGGGCACCAATAAAGGGCGTTGTATCCACATCAGATCATTCAACTGACAACATGGTTAAACAAATAAAATACAGGACGTGTACCTGCGTGACATGTGAGTCATCACCGAAACGAAACCATTTGACGCAGATAAACACAGAGCAGGTCACCTAAGTAAGCACATGATACTCATGATGCTCTATGAGAGAGCTTGTTGACATAAGACCAATATAAACTCTGGCACTTGACACCAATACATGTGATCAAAATCCTCCCCGTCATACGGTAAATTACCATACAGAAAGTGATGGATTAGAGATTTGGAGTGTGTATCGCAACCCCTGCTTCTCTGTATACATGAAATAAAAAATGAAGTAGCCTATGAAGCGAAATCAATATTCCCGCTTTCAACCTTTGACATATATTTTACGCATCTTTGTTCGACCTCGGCTCTCGGGTTCTCCTTCCCGACCCAGAGGAGCCAGAGGCCGGCCTTGTTTTTGTCAACCAGCTTCTTGAAAAACATTGCACCACAATGAGCTGTTAACGTCGTAGCGCTGGCGGTAATACGACACTGTACGAATTGATGAGTGAGCAAATATTAAGCATGTAAAAAGACAACTGTCATCTAAAAAAACGTACTTTGTACTCGTAACTCACCGAAGAGGAGACTTCTGGACGGGCTAACGGGCTGTTGTTGTTCAGTTAGCGTAGCGGCTAACGAGGCGTTACGTTAGCTAGCTCACTCGCTGGCACTGCACTCGTTAGCTAGCGCTGATTTGGCAATACCTCGTTTCAAACTCTTAGAACAATGTGTTGCCGTTAACGTGAACACAAACTAAAAGCCTTTAGTAAACTGTCGACGCAGGTTATCTACAACTGGTGTGTAAATGTGGCACTTTGCGTAAAGGCTTGCCTACCAGCGAGCTAACTGTCTGCTTCTCTCTTCCCCTTTCACTTCCTTCTCCAAAACAACGCCTGCGTCTTACGTCACACCTTTGCGTCAAACGCAGCTGACTGACACTCCCAGCCCACCTATGACATCTCTTTATTTCTTCTTCTTCTTCTTCTTCTTCTTCTTCTTCTTCTTCTTCTTCTTCTTCTTCTTCTTCTTCTTCTTCTTCTTCTCTCGGTTTTTGGCGGAATGCAAACAACCATCTCTTTATTTATCTTAGACTCATACCTATCTACATATCATCATACATCATACAGTCTATGAATAATACCTGTGCTTTACTTCTGAAGAAAGTATTGCCATGTCGCTATTTGGAGTATAGAGCAACCATTGAAATTGGTTACATTATTTTCGATAATAGAAAAGTCAAGTTTATTCATAGAGCATATTTGAAAAACAACCATTGACCAAAATGCTTTACATAAGAGAACAAATAAATCACAGAAGTTGTCAAGTAAGAGAACATAAAGTGTATGATATGAAGAGCTCAGCATCATAGATTTACGAACAAAAAAACAGCAGTATTAACTAAGATAACTAACTCAGATAAGAGAACAAGTTGTAATAAGCATGTCTTGATGATACATAGGATACAGCAAATATATCTTCAGAAGGATATTAATCGTATTGATTGAGGGGAGATATGAATATGGTCATCATCTTTGGATTGCAGATGTGGTCTCTCTTCCTGGCAAACTTACAACATCAACAGGGTTATTTTTCTGAGATTTGGGCTGAGTAACACACATGACATTTGCGTGGAACTGAACTCAAAATCCAGCGGAGTGCACCCTCCTGTTAAAACATGATGTTCATTCTAAACCTTAGAAACCTAAGTTACTATAAATGATGGTTTAGTGTGTTTAAGTTTAGTTGTAGTGAATCACAGCCAAAGGGAGAGCACTGATGATCCACCACTAGAGGACAGTGTCAACCCACTTTGAAAGAATGACCCTTCTAAACTGGGGGGGAGGGGGGTCCCAGACATAAGCTCATATTTATGTTTTGGACCTCCGTAGAGCTATGTAGCACACTGTGGTGTTGACAGTGTGCTGAACAGTGTTTAAGACAAAGATAGTTAAGTGATACACAGGAGAGTCTCTTTTTCCCTTAGAAAACTAAAAGAAAGTGTTGCAGGAACATGCAAATATGAGTACGATGCTTTCCAGCCTGTCTGCAAAGAAGTATGTATGTAAAAACCATAACAAAACTACTGAAAGATTTCATAAACGTCAGTTCACCTGTCAGTTCACCTGTCTGAGGAATAACAATTGTATTTATACTGGTCAAAAATGCTGCACTATCTGATTGATCTGTCAATCACTACATTCATTTCATTTACCAACAAAACATTTATTCTCAGCCATACACATTAGTAGAATTAAATGGATCTGAATTCATTTACAATAGTCACATTTTGAATCTGTATTCCTGTTGCATTATTTATGGATGAACGTGTCCTTACTATCTTGTTTGTGATATTATGTCATAAACGTTCACAGATATGTTGATATCCTTTTAAGGGTACTTTTTTTAACAAATGGAAAAGTCAGAATAAATCACTGGCTGAAAACTGTTTTTCTGTAGATCAATCCATTATCATTTTAAGAAGTTTAGAATTGCAGCCTCTGTAGAGATCTTATTGTTTATCATAACTGTAGGTGTTGCATTGGTTATATATTCAATTGAAATAACAGTAATTCCAAATATTCTCCTTGGGTCTTCTTTATAATCTGCATTTAAATTCAATTTAGACAATATTTTTAAAAGAACACTGAGCTGCCTTTGGCTCATCAGAACGATCAGCTTTCCATATAAGAATGACGTTTCTCTAAATGAACAGAGAAGTCCTTCTGAGATCCATGTTCATGTGTCAGTGTGTCTACATGTGTGTTTGTGCTCCTTGTTAGTGGGAGTGTGCCTCTCCAGAATCCTGATGACTGGTGTTTATAGAGGAATTCCTGTCTTCTCGTTCCTATTGAATGTAGAATCTTTATGGCCTCTTTGGAACTCCGTTTGTAAACACAAATACTGCGACACAAAAGGACACAAGTAAGAAAAGGGTGCACAGGAGGAAGGGAGCAACATACTTTAAGCATCTGTTGCCTTTTCATCTCTACAAACATTGCTGCATACACACGGTCCTCCAGAAGAAGAAACTTTTATTCTAGCATAAACAAGCAGCATGTGAGACAGATATGATCGCAAAGGCAGGTAAAGAGCTCACCCACAGATTTAAAAAAAGTGAATTTATCTGTGAAATACTGGTTTTATATTTGCATATTGTAACACAGCATTTGTGTGAGTGTGTAAACATTCACCTCTGTGTGTGGCTGTGTGGGAGTCTGAGAGAGAGCATGAGATGAGTTAAGGAGATGGACAGATTGTGTGTGTGTGTGTGTGTGTGTGTGTGTGTGTGTGTGTGTGTGTGTGTGTGTGTGTGTGTGTGTGTGTGTGTGTGTGTGTGTGTGTGTGTGTGTGTGTGTGTGTATCAGGGGGTGGGTGCATTAGTCCATGTCAGACAGCAAAGAGTGTCGCAGTTATCTAGGAATCTGAGCCAAAGCAACCTCACTAACAGACAGAGAGCAGGAGAAAGAGGAGGACCCAGAGTGAGATGAACTGAGAGAATTAAAAAAGGAGAAGATGAGAATGAATGAAGCACAAAGAATATAGAAAACGAGACAGACGGGGACAACAATAAAAAAGGTTAAGTTAGCAAACACTTTGCACCTGAAGGGTTACTTCTTGAAATACAAAGGAAAGAGAAGTGAACGCTGTATGAGAATTAACAACTCCAAAAGGACAAACAACCTACAGCTGAGAGAAAAAAGGATTATCCCCTGGTGGAGAAAGTGGACGAGCCTGCACCTCTGCACTTTGTCATGATTTTACTCAGTTCTCTCAGTTTGCTTCCTCTGCTGTCGCTGTATGTGGGCGCCTTGATGTCCTCAGAAGCTTCTCCAGCCTGCACACACCCTCCCTGCAGGGACAGGCTGGTGGCTGCTCCCCTCCAGCCCGGGACAGGAGCAGGTAGCGGGGCCTGTGAGGGTCAAACTGGGTCAACAGCCTGCAAGATGGGGGTTTCACTACCAGCCGTCTCAGATGTTTCTCAGAAGGTGGAGGTTCAGCCTAAGGTGAGTGACATCACTTACAGCGTGGTGGCAGTCCAGATTTATATTTACAAATCTTATAAAAAATTCGAAGAAAAGCCAGTTGATGCTAAATGTTGTACTTGCAATGTAACAGTGAGATGTACAGTAGCTGCACGGTATGAAGGAAATATGTGATAACATTGTTGAATATTGCTTTAGCTTGGGAAGAGATAATAAAGCGTACTCAGTTCTGCATTTCATCTGCTTTCAGCATACTGCTAAAACAAATGTGGATGTTCAACAAAAAAAAATAAAGGTAATTATTTCTAATATTTCTTATTGAACAGATTGACTTCGAATTGATCACAAGGCACCAACTAAATGTTTAACTCAAATAAATCCCTGAGTTTAATAATGCTGTCCTTTGTAATATGTTTATAGTGCAAGTTGACATTGCAATGATGATCAGAAATTATATATGTGCAGCTTTAGTGAGATTGTTCAGAAACATTGGTAGACATGGTGAAGCAGAGCTGACCCCCAGTCTGCTCATGCACGTGTGTCAGAGAGAAAGATCAGTGTACTATCAGGAACAGGTCAGCAGGTCCTTCCTCGCGGGACAGTCGACACACTCAACTTGGTACAACCTGAAAGCCATCGAGAAATGACAGTCAGCAATCAAAGGAGATAAAATTAGATCTGCTTTAAAAATGTCCTCATCATATGGTTGTGCTGAGCTCATGCAGCAACAGGTGTGTGTTCTACAATGACCCGATGTAAGTGTAAGAGACAGATCGAGTGTGACACAAAACGTGCCAGTGAGCGGTGCGTTTTGATTGCGGATTAGCCTTTCACGTGTCATTTTCTAAACTGAAGGAGGCATGTTTATGCACATCAACAGCCTAATTTCTCAAATTTAAAAACACAGCATTATTTCACAGCATTCATTTTTATTTTGTCAAGTCCATTAGATGCAACTGACAGGTATTGCAAGATCATGTGTTTAAAAGAGATGTGCTCATAAAGTCTTGGAAAATGAATCAGATAGCCTGAAAAATGTAGTCTTTTAAGACCAAATAGACAGCATCTTGCGACTTATCGAACAAGAGGGGGTCTTCTGAAGTAGTAGCTTTGAGCGCTGTCTTTGCAGACTGGAGGTGTGAAAGAGCGTCTCGTTCAGCTGCAGCGCTGCATGCGCTCTGTCCAGGAAACAGGGGGCCCCTGGAGCCATGGGGGCCAGGAGAGCAACTCTCTTGGAGCCATCCTGGCACTGATGGCAGGTGTCCTGACAGAATGTGACCTCCACTGTCACAGCCAGGCCCTTGGGGCGATGGCCAAACGACTGGGTGAGAAGTGCACACTTATATCCCCCACCTCTGCAACACCAGACAAACGCACACACAAAAATGCCAGCACAGTCACTCCCCCACACATAGTAAACAGAACCCCAATGAGGCCTGCTAAGTGTCGGACATAGGTGAGTGCATAGGAATTTAACTGCACTGAGGAGGATGAGAAAAACTCTGTAAATGCACACACACACACACACACACACACACACACACACACACACACACACACACACACACACACACACACACACACACACACACACACACACACACACACACACACACACACACACACACACACACACACACACACACACACACACACATTACATTGACGTACATGCATTTCCTGGAGACTTATCCTAACCTTAACCATAACCAACACATGCCTAACCCTAACCCGTACCCTTACCCCTAAAATGAATGATTCCTCTCATGGGGACCTCCATTTTGTCCCCATAAGGGAGGTGAGTCCCCACACGTGACTGTGTAAACACATTTAGGTCCCCACAAGTATAGTAATGCTAGGCCACACACACGCACGCACGCACGCAGGCACGCACGCACGCACGCACGCACACACACACACACACACACACACACACACACACACGTAAACCCACACAGTATTACATATGAAGAAGAGTCTTTATACATAATGGATGCCCTCTGTCGTGTTTATAAAGACAAAGCTTCTATTTTTAATCCATGTGTCTCACTGATAACCTAATCATTCTCTGGGTAACAGAGAGTGCAGCCGTGGGAAGAGAGGGGGAGAGAGACCTGCTGCTTTTCCTTAAGAGCATCACACAGTATCCACCCACAGGTAAGGGCATCAGGAGTGATCGTATAAGTTGTTGCTGATGAATAAGTGAATTACAAACGTACTTTGTGTGTTTCTCAGTTGCCCCCTTGGAGAGGTTACATCCTCGGGACTGTGCAGAGATTTACAGGCTTGGCATCAAAGAGAATGGAATCTACACCATCCAGCCTGACCTGCACAAGCCGGCATTGGAGGTATTTCAGATTCACCGCACTCATAAAACACAAAGAGGGACCCCCACCCCACTCCTCTTCTTTTAGAGATGTGTATACTATATGTGGATTGCTAAAATCTAGGCTTTATGACATCAAAGTCTTTGTTTTGGCTCAGGCTAAATGTGACATGGAGCTGGCGGGGGGCGGGTGGACGGTGATCCAGAATCGGCGGGATGGCTCACTGGACTTCAACAAGACATGGCAGGAATACCGGGAGGGCTTTGGTGGTCTGCAGGGAGAGCACTGGCTGGGGAATGCAGCACTGCACGCCCTCACATCCACTGGCCAGCACCAACTCCGTATCGAGCTGGAGGACTGGCACCATCAGAAACGCCAAGCTACATACAACCAGTTCAAAGTGGCCTCAGAGGCACAGAGGTGAAACTCACATTTTCTGCAATAGATGGAGGGATTAAATCATTTTATAGTCTCTGAAAATAGGCATCAATCCAAGTTACATTTCATGACTGGAGGGTCACTTAGAGGGACAGTTCATAAGGTTTGAAGTAGCGTTGTGTGAGGTACTTGTCCATTGACCTTCAGTAGATGGCAATCTGCATACATGTAGCCCCCTATATTGACCAAACAAATACCGTAATTGTCGTAAGGCGAGATGCATTTTAGCCAATGCTCTTGTGTTCTCTACACAGAGAGTATCACCAATGCTGTTTACATTTTGAAATGTTTTTTTTACGTTTCTTTTTTGGATTGTTTATTTCTTGTCTTTTAATTTCTCTAATGTATAATGCCTTGTCTTTTTATGCTGCTGCAATGCAAACATTTCCCAAATTGGGATCAATAAAGTACTTCTTATCTTATTTTATGCCTGATCCAACATAATTTGCTAATACTACTGAGACTTCAAACAAGAGTGCTACGGATACCAAAATCTAGTCCCAGACCAATTAAAAGTATTTTCTTAAAGTCACACATCAAACAGGTAGCCCTGACCCGTTATTTTTTTGGTAGTGGTATTATACCAGAAGGGTCAGTGCAAGCCTGGTTATGTTTGTGGGTTTATCTTGATTTCTTGGTGTAAACAGACTTGCATGTAACAAGCAACCATCACAAACTTGTAATGTGTCGCTTCTCTTGCTTCCAGGTATCGTCTAACAGCGCGGGAGTACTCTGGTGATGCAGGCAATGCTTTGAGCTACAGTAAACATTACAACCATGATGGAAGACCCTTCAGCACGGCTGACCGAGACCATGACCGCTACGTAGCTGGGAACTGTGGTCAGTACTACGGTGCAGGGTGGTGGTTTGATGCCTGCCTGGCAGCTAACCTGAACGGACGCTACTACCGTGGACGCTACAGTGGGGTGACCAACGGGATCTACTGGGGGACATGGTACATCCTGACAGACGGACGAAGTGGAGAACGCTACTCATTCAAGAGGGTGGAGATGAAGACGAGACCCAGGAACTTTGTAGGAACATCTTAAATGGTGACAATTCTCACAGATAAGAATGTCAACCAGTTTTCTTTAAGTCAGTGTGGACTTCACTTTACTTAGAGCAGCTTTCAAGTCACTTACCAGTTCCATGCAGATGGCAGCTAATAGATTCAATACAAAATATAGGCCTACAAGAAATAATGTTTTAACATTCACTAGCAGATAAGCTAAATACATATTATAATATTATTTGGTTTGTTAAGTGGCTTCTCTCTCGCGACAGCACCTTTCTAGCATTAGTTCAGTGATACAAAGAATTGAATAGTGAAAATACTGCCTGTAGAAGATGTTATTGTAATAAATTCCCAGAATGTTTATTATACATTAAAGATCTCTATGTGGTACTTTAATAAGCACCTAGATGCCGGTGGGAGACATTCATCTACAATGTGATTGTTGAAGGGTGTTTTTTTTATTTCCACACATTCACATGATAAAGATGAACTACATCCAATTTGTTCATAAAAGTGAGACTACAGGAATGCATGGATTAACACTAGGAGTTTGTCAGTGCCCCTACCTGCCTAAAGCTTCATGATCCATTACAAATATTGTCTGCAAAAACTCACATTTTTTAGATCAGATGATGCCATGAGTGAAAATGTCTAACTCTCTGAGGTTAAGAGGTCACCCTGCAGGGGGCGTAAACTGGTGGGTGATACGCAGCCCCTCAAATTCAAGCTGTATCACCATGTTGCTCATGCGACAGTGAGCTTATAGGGATAAAACATGTTTCCCCTGTGTTCTGCCTCCACCAGTATTAATATAGAACCAACCCCAAAGCTTAGGGTTTGACAATAAACAGACAGAAGCCCAGTTTTGGAGAAGCAATCTTTCCCACCTTACCTTGTTCATACTTTCCCAGGTCTATGCTTGACACACTAATGCTGAGCATTAGGATTTTTACCCTGTCATCATACCACGAAACCACCCTCTGCCCACCACTATCTCAAACACACACAGAAACACACACTCAGCCTCACCTGCTTTTTGGAGTTGGCGTCAGGCGGGCGGCTCCCTCTCTGGCTGTGCTTCACAAAGACTCTTCTGGGAGTTTAGAGTTGATGTGTGAGTGCTGAGTTGGGCCGTGCACGTGTGATGCTTGTCTGTTTGTGCCAGAGAGTGTGTATATTGTGTGTGTGTGTGTGTGTGTGTGTGTGTGTGTGTGTGTGTGTGTGTGTGTGTGTGTGTGTGTGTGTGTGTGTGTGTGTGTGTGTGTGTGTGTGTGTGTGTGTAGATGTGTGTACGTAGTACTTACGTTACGTA